TGGCAGCCGTGGCCGGGCTCCTCATTACCGTGGGATTTGCTGTAACAGATTCCCATCAGTCACAGGAGAGTGATGGGTTTATTTTTAAACAGATTAAGCATCTGCTGCTGACAGAGCACATCTCAGCACTGCCTGGGCAGTGAGCAGTGCCCGTGGGGAAAAGGCAGTGGGAAAACCCAGGGGAGGCAGGGGCTGAGCTTGGCTGCCTCAGAAATGTGCTGTGAGATCGTTTGGAGCCAGATGTGAGTGTCCCATCAGGGCTCAGTGGCACTGGGACCCCAGGGCTGGCACTGAGGATGTTTTCCTGTCCTTTATAGAAACAAATAAAACATTTGCTAGTTCAGGGAGATTCTTCTGGATAAGGCAAGTTAATCAGCAGTGATTGATCCTCCTGCTCTCTCTGGACAGAGGCAGGCTGGGGGTTAGGGAATGGGAATCACTGGGGGCTCGGCAGGAGTGAGCCTGCAGCATTGGGGCAGCAGAGGATCAGCCACAGCCCCATCCAGGTGTCCTCATGGCCCAGAATTGGCCAGGGAACGCTTAGGAGAGGGTTTGTTATGGTTTGTTTGGTTCCCATTCCCAGGCACGGACCCTCTCCAGTGCCCCCGTGCAGCTCCCAGGGAGATGGAGAATTTTTGCTGTGTTTCTGCTGGATCCATCCTTCACTAAAAATAAAGCTGACTTTCCTGCAGTGGGTAAAACCAGTGATGAAAATCCCCATGAATACTTCATCAGGCTGCCTGCCTGCCTTCCCATGGATTTTCTGTCGCCAGGAGAGCGTTTCCAGCAGCCGTTGGTGCCTGGAAACCAGGACTGGGGGGAATCCAAATCAATCACGGCTGAAAGAGGGAATTTTCTGCTAAAGCCGACTGCTTCTGGTGATATTATCCATGCAAGAACTCTGGCAGTGCTGCAGGGAGCGTTTTACCCCAGGACAGAAAGCGGGGTCAGGAACCAGGGCTGGGACACCCCAGCACTTTGAGGATGCGCTGGTGATGCAGCACGAGGAAAAGCAGCAAAAGGATGAAAATTTGGAAGGGAAGATCCCGCTCCGAGGGCACAGGAAGCTGCTGAGCTGCAGGGACTCCAGAGGCTGTGCTGCCAAGGAGGGTTTGGAGGCGATGCTGCCGCAGGGGTCAGCAGCTCTCCCCTCCTGGAAGCTGCTCCTGTGGTCCCAGCCCAGGGGAGCTGCTGGAGCCTGTCCCACGTCTGTCCCATCTCTGGGGTTTCCACATGGCTGGGGACACCCAGCAAGGCAGGAAGAGGTTCCCCGAAAACAAGGCCTGAAGACCAATGTCCTCATCGCCTCGTGTCTGCCTGAGCAGACACTGAATCATCCCAAGCTGGTATTTAAAATAGCAGCATTCCTGTTTTTAGCAGGAGCATTGCTCAGCCCTAAGAGGAGGAACAGGCTCGGGGGATCTGCTCGCTGTGCACGGCCGGGCACAAGGGAGGCACCGAGGGGTTTGCCCAGGGGTGCCCGAGGGCTTTGCTGCACCCTCGGCCCCACTCCGGCTCTGCCCCTTGCTGGTGTCGCCGGTGCCACCCCAGGGCTCTGTCCCATCTCGGTGGCACCCTGGGCTCTGTCCCGGCTCGGTGGCACCCGGGGCTCTGTGCCACTGCTGCAGGACAGGTACGGCTCAGCTCGTCCTACCTGACCCAGTTAGCACTCAGCAGTGAAATGCGGCTCTGGGAGAGCAGAGCTGCTCAAATCCGACAGAGCCAGTGGCATTGTCCCACCCTGTTTCCCTCCCACAGGATGCCGCCTCCCCTCCCGCCGTGCCAGGGATGGGCTGGGGGGTCCTGGCTGGGTCCTGGGACCCTCCTGCTCCCAGGCATCCTTCCCGAGGCAGAGCACTCAGAGCCTGAGCTGCTCTCCGTGCCCAGGCCAGATCCTCCCCAGCCCGGCCGCCCTTGTCCCACACACACCCAGGGCTGTGTTAGCTCCCATCCTCAGGGACTCCAGGTTTGCCATTCCTGCAAAGGGATGCCTTCCTGCGCCCTGCTACAGGGCAGCCTTGTGTCACAGAATCACAGGATGGATGTGTGAGGAGGCCCTGAAGCCCATCCCACCCCTGCCATGGCATGGACACCTTCTGCTATTCCAGGTTGCTCCAAGCCCATCCAGCCTGGGTTTGAACAGTTCTGGGATGGGGCAGCCACAGCTTCCTTGAGCAGCCTGTGCCAGTGTCTCACCAACCTCACTGGGAAATGCTCCTTCCTCACATCTCACCTAAACTGACCTGTTTCCAGGTCCCTGCCTTCAGGTCTCTCCAAACCACAGCACACGTTCACACAAGCCAGGCTCTTGCACAACCTGGCTCACTCCACCGGTGTTTATGTAACCCAGGAGCCTCAGCAGCAGCGACCTGCTTCCCTCTAACCTGCTTATCAAAACCGCAAAACAGGGCAGCAGTGGGTGCCAGCGGGGCACCGGCTCAGGGCAGGTGCTGGCCCCACCTGGGAGCCCATCCCACTGCTCCAGGGCATGGGACACACCCAGCACAGGCACCCCTGGCAGCACACACAGCACAGAGCTCACCTGGCCTGGGCAGGCTGTGCAGAGCTCACTTCCAACAGGATTCCTGGTGCTCCTGACCAGCTTCCATGCCCAGCTGGAGCTGCAGAGGGAGATTCCCCAGGGAATGCCCAGCTCTTGGCCCAGGTGGTGCCAGTGCAGCAGCTTCACCCACCCACAAACACATCCCAGCACCCACAGAGCCCCCTGCATGCCCTGGGCAGCGTTTGCCCTTTTATGCCTGAAAATGACCCGGAAACACGCCCAGCCATGCTGCCCATGCCTGGTGAATTGCCTCTCATGCACCTGGGAGCCCATTGCTAATGAGGGCTAATGAGCGCTAATGAGCCCTCAGCTCACCCCAGCTTGGAGCTGCTGTGCCCATTGATCCCATGCCGGGGTTTCCCACTGGTCCATCAGCCTCAGCAGAGCCGACAGGACCTGTGCCAGCCCCGGGAGGAGAAACACAAGCAAAGTGCCCGGAGTGGAGGCAGCAGCAGGGCAGGGGGCTGGAAAGGGTCAGGGTCTGCACTGCCCCCTCTGCTGCACCCTCTGCTGCACCCTCCTCCATCCTTCTGCATCGCTGCCTCCTGCTGCATCCCTCCCACGGCCCTGCACTGCACTCCTCCCCCTGCTCCTTCTGCCTCTCTCCCGCTGTCCCAGGCTGAACCCAGGCAGGAGAATTCCTTCTGTGCCGCAGCAAGGGCTGGGGCAGCGTGGGTGCCCGGCTGACAGCTCTGAAGGGAGGGGACAAACCCCCAGCCCCTCAGACGGGGGGTTCTGGGGAGCAGGAGGGGAGCATGAACAGGGGACAGCGTCCTCCTGCCCATGGCTGCACCTCAGGGATTGCTGCTCAGTTCAGGAATTAATCCTGAAAAGCCGAACATCAAACAATCCCTTAAAATCCCACTTTCCCGATGGTTTTGTGTTGAGAACAGTGACACAATGACTGCAGCCCTGGTATCCAAGAGCTCCCCAGAGCCTGGCACCACATGCACAAGCCAGATTTCTGCTATTCCACAGCCAATTTTATCATTACAGCAGAATTTTTTTTTTTTCCTGAGCTAGTGTGTTCATAATGGTGTGAAACCAGAAAAAGCAGGAATTCTTGCACTAAGAAACAGCAGGAAAAATACAGTGCAAAGGCCTAGGTTTTGCCTGGCAGTGGAATGAGGGAGTTTCAAATGTCAAACCTGCTGGGCTTTGCTGCAGCTGAAGGAGCCCTTCCAAACCATCAGAGGTGTCACTGTGTTGGATTCGGGCTCTCTGTTCCAACTGACTTCAGAAAATGGCAAAAACACGCCTTTAAACCCCTGCCGTTGGCAGCATTGGCTGCACAAATAAATACGCTTGTCATCGCTTGATTTTTTTCCCATTTTCCAAGTTAAAAATGTTCCGGAAGCCAAATGCCACCCGTTGGACCCATCCCTGGGCGTGCACACAACCAGCAGGGGCACAGGGCCGGGCACAGGGCCGGGCCCAGGGCTGGGGCAGGTGGAAATCCAACCTCAGCATCCCCACACTTCGGGTAGCTAAAACACAGTCTAGAAAAAAGGAAGGTTTTTAAAAACCCAGCAAATTAATCTGCCAACAGTGAAGGAAATCAGACATCCACTGGGAAGGTAAGGCCGGGACAAGGGCAGCTGGAGGGGTGGTCAGCGTTAGCAGCAGGGGTGGCAGCACCTGCAGTGCCCGAGTGTGCCCGTGAGGGATCGCAGAACCACAGAATAGTGGAATCACAGAATAGTGGAATCACAGAATAACGGAATAATGGAATCACAGAATCGCGGAATGATAGAATAATGAAATCATGGAATCACAGAATAATGGAATCACAGGATCACAGGATCACAGGATCACAGGATCACAGAATCACAGAATCACAGAACCACAGAATATTGAGGAAGAGACCTCTAAGATCATTGAGTCCGACTTATGCTTAACACCTCAACAAGACAATAGCATCAAGTGCCGTGCCCAGTTTTTTTTAAACGCATCCAGAGGTGGTGTTTCCACCCCCTCCCTGGGAAGAGCATTCCAGTACTTTATTATTCTTTCTGTGAATTTTTTTTCCCTAATATCCACCCTATCCTTTCCCTGGCATAGCCAGAGGCTGTGTCCTCTGGTTCTGTCAGTGCTGCCTGGTGGGACAGACCGACCCTACCTGGCTATACAACGTCCCTTGGGGAAGGTGCAGCCAGCCCCATGGGAGGGAAGGACCCTGGCCAGGGCAGGATGAGCTGCCTGGAGGGTGGGACCCCCTTTCGGGCAGGGGCAGCTNGGAGGGGGTTCTGTAGCCCTGTGATGCTGCACTCTGCAGGCCAGGGTCCCTGCTGTCACACGTGGGTTTGCCACCTGACAGCAGAACAGCACTGAGCCCCCCGGGTGCCAAGGATTTGGGATTTTGAAGGTGTTTGCTGTCCCTACAGGTACAAGGTGTCACCAGGCACAGCCGTCCCCATCCCGTGTCTGGCTGCCTCACCTGGCTCCAGGCTGGGCACACGTGGAAGGTGCTGGTGGCAGGGCTGGGTCACCTTGGACCATCTGTGCTGGGCTGGACACGCCATGTCCGAGCAGGTGATCCCCAGGGCCACCAGGACTGGCCTGGGGGGCAAGGCCAGCACTGCCACTGCTGCCAGCACCCCTGGGAACAGCCCTGCTGGGCTCTGCACACCAAAGTCCGTCACTAATTAAGGATTTAATGTCCAAACCTCTGGAACTGACTCATCCCTAACTGCCACCAAGGAACCCTTTCTCTGTCGCTCCCCCAGCCAGCTGGGAGCTCAGCAAGACACTCGCGTACCTGCTGTGAGGTGGTGGCCCAAGGAGCTGCAGGAGCCACAGGAAATATTTTTGTATTTCTGGGGGGTGAAGCAGGCCCCAAATGCAGCTGACAGTCACACCAGTGTCACAGGAGCAGCACAGGGTCCCTCACCAAACCAGCTCCTGCCCCACTTGCTGCGGCTCCTGGTGAGTCCCAGCCCGAGCTGCTTACAGGGCACTGGGATTATCCTCCCCAAGGGCACGGTGGGGAGCCCAGGGCCAGCCACATCCCTGGACACCAGCACAGGCCACCCTGCCCCAGCAAGGACAGCCCCAGGAGCCCCTGTGCCCACCAGGAGTCACCTGTGGCTGTGTCAGGAAAGGGGCACAAACACGGGCAGGGAACGGGGAGCTCCAGAGCCTCAGCACAGGGACCCCAGCCCTCCTCTGGAGCCCTGCAAAGAAGGGAAGGGAAGGGAAGGGAAGGGAAGGGAAGGGAAGGGA